GGAGGTGTGGTGGTAAACGAGTGGTCTGATTGGTAATCTAATTCCAGATGGTTTATGCCTTCTCCTGTTGACTGAGGTGCCCTCTGCTGGTGGGAAGCCAATATTATAACAAACCAAAGCACAACTGGGTGCAATGTGAATGAACCATAGTTTCAAGTTTCAGAAAATAATCAATCAAGGATTTCTCATGGTACCATGGCTGGGATTCAGGAGCAAACTGGGTTGTTGTATCCATCTGTCTAAAGATGCTTTATTTGTCAGTACAATAATACAGTAGGTAGATTTCAAAACACATATTCAAAATATTTACTTTCAGTTGAGACATTTATCCACAAAGTATTCAAGCCAGACAATCCAGTTAATGTTGCTGTATATCTCAAAAGCACATAAAATCAGTGAAAAGTAAAAAAGGGAATGATTGCCACAGCCTATACAAAGTAGGATATTATTATCATAAAGTCAAATGTGCTATTGTTCATACTGATGGTGACAAAGAACAATCAGATTGAGAGATATTTTTCTCTTCTTCAAGTTGTATGAACGATTGTCATGAATTTTTAATCTCAGTCCTCACAAAAAACTTTAATTACCCTTACCTGATCAGACTGCTATGTACTGAGCTCTGAGCAGAGAGCAATGGATTGCCCTCTCACAGCTGGCTTAACAAAGCAACATTTTCAACACATATCTTCACTTTTCGTGACATTTTAGATTTTATGTTAATGTGAAGTTTTCTCACCTGCAGGTGTGAGGCAAACCTGATCCAAATGTACACTTGATTCAAGTCCATTCTGATGAAAAATACACTTATATATCCGTGCATCATCCATACTAATGTCAGAGAGTCTCAGTGAGAAATTGCCCATCTTTAGTGCTGTTAGGAAGAGTTGCGTTCTGTTGATATAGGTTTCGCCTTGTTTGTCCAGAGCGTCTTTTCCATAGACAAAGCTGTGCACTATGACACTGTCTGATCTCCACTCAATGGCAATACTGCCTAGGTCCAGTTCACTTCCTTTTCTATAGACACAGGGAAGCACAGTGGATTCTCCCATGATTGCAATACAGTCCTTACCTGTTCAGGGATAACAAACAGTTTAGGAGTAAACACACATGACCAGTGACAAAGAAAATGACTGCTTCAGGAATTTGAATGAAACTATACAGTAACACCAATTTCTCACCCTCCATTATTGACTTAAATTGAGCGTTCTCATTTTTACCATGTTTTTTTATTTGCCAAGACTTTAAGAAGACCAAGTTTTCTTTATCTTAGTTTTGTTCAATTGCAAATTTCTTTTCCTAGTTCAATTGTCTGTAGCTTAATGTTTTGAACTAATACACTTCACACTAAAACTAATGATTTACAACTAATGTAACAGACTACATTTTTTGTATGAGAAAGTTTAATGTAATGACTAATTCACTTAAATTGACCATTCAACAGAGAAAATCATCTCGATCGACTGGCTAATGAGGAAAGTTGACTGGGCCTGTGGTACTTTGTGTGGCCCCAGTCTCAGCAGATATGGAGCTATAGAGCTTTTTGCTGTACAGATTTTGTAAAGCAGTGACAATTTGTACACCCCTTTTAATAAATTTAGTTCTGCATTAATGGCAGCTCCACAGAGATGAGTGAAGAACTCTAGTCTTTTTCATTGACCCAATTCAGTCTAATTTGTACAGAGAAGAGCACTAGGTTTTTGTTCTTATTTAATTCCAGGTGTTCTTCACTCCACTGTGACAATGTCTTATTACAGAGTGTTTCCGACCTGATATATGCAAATAGTGGTAATTAACCCATGGAAGATCCCACCATTCAAATCCTGTTTGGATTATTTTACGACAACATAGAGGAATATTCCAATTGCAATTTCAATCAGTTCTATTTCAAAACGTTTTGATCCTATTAACAGCCTAGAATTTTAGTTTCTCAATGTGATCTCAGTGTAGGACTAACCTGCGCACATGCAGAGAGTTTTGTAGACCAGAAAAACTCCAATCTGCCAATGAAGATGCATTCTCACTGTGAAGAAACAGAACAGAATCAGATTTTAGTTAAGAGCAAAGAAAGAGACAGATTTCCCTTTTGTCCTCTTTCTGTCAACAATTGCAGAATACCATTTGTTATTTAAATGTACTAAATAAGTTTTAAAAAATCAAAAAGTTCACAGACCTCTGACAGACTGAATGAAACAAAAGCACTGGGCTCCGTGCTCTCTACTCATACATCAGGCAGATGAAGACATCTCTTGACCTGCTGGTTGGAGTAATTTGAAGTTGGCCTCTAAAGTCTCTCACTATCAGTTGATCCACTTCAGCTTTGTCCACAGAACTTTGTGGACAGTGGACCTGGATACCTGCTTCACATATTGTAGAAGAGTTTAGATCTTGCTGTACAGGAGGGCTGGTCTCCTCAACTATCTCTTCATGAGAATATCCCCCATTTGGTGTTTCTTCGAATGAATGACAGCTCCTTGCTAGATTGATGCAGAGATGGATTTGGCTGCCTGGTATTTTTTATTGGCTGAAAGCATGGTCATTCTCTCTTGACAGTGTCCTTACCTTCAGACTGCCCTGTCCTTTCCTTTTGCTGTAGATTTTGGATCTCTCTGTACTTGATCAACAGAACTGAGTACAGGGCTCTCTGAGGCTGGGGGAGGCACTAGACATCATCAAACATCTATGTCCCGATCGGCATCCCTCCTCTTAAAGGGTGCTCTGACCATTTCGTATTTTGGTTGATTTTGTGCACCTGCCCCCTGTTTAGTCTAACACTATTTAAGCCT